AAGAAAAGTAATATTATTACGTAACGCACGTTACTTGTAACGCGTTACCCCCAACACTGCTCGTGAGTCCTGTAAACAGGACACCATAGCTATGTTAGACTTCCTGGCAATAAAAATTGGGCACAAAGCCTCCAAAGAAAAGCTGCAGCTGGTGTCACAAAGGGTTAAATACCTTGGCCATGTGTTAACAAGTGAGGGAAGGTCATTAGGACCGGACCGAGTGGCATCCATACAGGAGATGCCCAAACCAGAGACTAAACAGCAATTGCTTTCAGTCCTAGGCATGATTGGCTATTGCAGGCCTTGGATTCAGGACTATGCACAGAGATCACAGCCCTTGGTTTGACAATTGGGCTAGGACTGACAGACAGACTGACGTGGACACCCGAAGCTGAAGATACCCTGATTGATTTAGAACAGGTATTAATGTCAGCCCTAGCTTTGGGGGTACCTGACTATAGAAAACCATTTGTGCAATATGTGGGGAAAAATAAATAAATAAATAAATAAAAGGGTTCATGACTTCAGTCCTGACTCAGTATCACGGGGGGAGGTGCAAACCGGTTGCATACTACTCAAAGGACTCGGTGGCTCGAGCATTACCACCTTGCCTTCGAGCGGTGGCTGTAGCAGCTGAGGCAGTGATGGCAAGTGCAGATCTAGTGCAGCTGCATCCACTGACACTTCGAGTTCCCCATGCAGTGCACGCGATCCTGACACAGGCCAAGACATCTCATTTGACGCCGGCGCAATCGGTGCATTATCTGAATGTTTTGCTAACACTGGCAAATGTGACTGTGGAAAGGTGCTCTGCTTTGAATCCAGCGACCCTCCTTCCCACAGGGGTGGATGGGGGATTGTTTGCAGGTCATTGACTGTGGGTGCAGACCTAGGCCAGGTCTGACTGACATCCCACTGGAAGGAGGCAACATCCTGTTTGTTGATGGGAGTTCTTTGCGGCTGGAGGATGGATCGCCAGCGACCTCCTATGCTGTGGTGCAAGATGGATCACTTGTGGACAGAGGGCAGCTGCCTAGACATTGGTCCGCACAGGCGGCTGAGCTGTTTGCACTGCAACAGGCCTGCAAACTGGCTGAAAAACAGAAAGTCACTATCTACACAGACTCCAGATACGCCTTCGGGGTGTGTCACGATCATGGTGCATTGTGGAAGCAGAGAGGTTTTCGCACCAGCACTCGAAAATCCATTCAGCATCATCAGTTAGTGGAACAATTGTTGGACGCTCTCATGCTACCCGAACAGGTGGCAATAGTGAAGTGCCAGGCCCACACAAAGCGGACTGATGAAATCAGCCAGGGGAATGATCTCGCAGACCAGTCTTCTAAAAGTTTAGCTGAAGACTCCACTAGGTTTGGGAATAAGGTTTTGCTAGCAATGGATGTTGATGAACTATGCGTTGATAATGACTTTGTTTTGATTCAAACAGGTGCTACAGAGGTTGAGCTCCGCGGATGGAAACAGAGCGGTGCACGGTGTGATGGGGAAGGCGTGTGGCGACATTCTGGGACTAACCGACCTTATCTTCCTAGATCTGCGTATCCAGGGATGGCCAAAGCCATTCATGGCCTTGATCATGTGTCTCGTGACGGGATGGGGGCAGATGTGACTCGGGTGTGGCATGCCACTGGGTTTGCCGCAGCTATGAAACATTATTGCGCCTATCACCCCTAGAGTGGGGGCATGGTAGAGAGCCTGCCCTGCCCTTGGTTGATGCCCTGCCCCTGAATTTGTTATTCATGCGAGCCAGGACACACCGCCAAACAGGGTTGGCTCCATTTGAAGTGTTGACTGGGAGGCCAATGCGTGTTTTGTCTCCCTCGCGATATGTCACACTGGAAACTGTGGATGGGAATTTGCTGACTTATCTTACAGGTTTGCAGCAAGCGATAGGTGCAGCCTGGGACCAGGTTCGAGCCAACTGGAGGACAATTGGAAGTTCTCCAGAGGGAGAACCACTACGAGCTGTGACACCGCTTGACCCAGGGAACTGGGTGTTGGTTCGTGACCTGAGGTGGAAGAGATGAAAAACGCCGAGATGGAGGGGACCACACCAGGTCCTGATGCGGGCCCCCCCTTGTCCATGCGGCGATGATCCTCTCCTTCCTGCCTGGCTCTAAGAACCACAGCCCCAGGTTGTCATCAGTATAACCAGCAACGCCGACTCTGCTGGTGACTCGTGGTCCATCCAACCGCCGCCAGCGCCCATCGCCCCGCTGTGCTTTTGTCCGGAGTATTACTTTGCTGTGAACTCTGATTCTGTGTGAACAGCGCGGATTTCGCGCGGATATATATCCTCTGTTATGTCATGTGCTTTCGCATATCGTATAAATAATCATAGTGGGCCGCCATATGCCAGTCCAGCCCTGGCCCATAAAGAACTTTGACGTAAACCCAAGTCGAACGCACCCAATTACTTAAGCAAAACGTTACAGGCTTTCTATAATCAGGGGTGTACATAACTGGTACGCAAGTACGCATCCACCTCGATCGTTTTTAAAGGTGAATGCGTGCTTGCGTACCA